AGTTTTATTTAACTTAAGATTTTGTGAAATCACAACTTTCAATTCACACAAAACAAACTTTTGTTTTTTTAAAAAAAATCCATCATTCTGTTCTCATGAAATAATCGATAATTAATTTTCTTAAATAAAAAAGGATGTTTATAACTCCTAGTCTCTCTCTATATATAATTTTGGTATATATATATATATATATATATCTGCAAAGTAAACCCCAATAAAATTGTCAGTAAGTGCTGTGCTAATATATGCGACTCATCTGCACATTACTTTAGATGGCCGTGAACAAACAAGGAATTCTTTGAGAGACAACTGGCTTGCTTTAGTAGATTTAGGAGTCTATTTGTGACCTCTTTTATTGGGTCAAGAAAAATAATACTCTCACGTTAGATTATATTTCATGCAGTTCATATCCTGTGGGGATAATACGCGCAGAGAACTGTGTACTGAAAGGTTTTTTTTAACTGTAACCTTTTAACAGTTTTATATGTTTCCATCTTGCGTTTATGTAGAAATTTTTCCCAAAGTTGATCCTTTCATGATAATGTACGCTACTTCTCGAACTTCTATATACTTGGTAAAGTACACTCGGAGAACTGTTGTTTACTATTACGAGATTGTATACCATCTTCTACAACTAATGTAAAACAGTACACTTATCTAAACATGCCACTCAGCAAAGTTTACAGATAATGTTTCAGGGAAATGAATAATCTTGTTTCCACAAGTCTTTTCGTAAGTTACATAAATTTCAATACTCATTCTATCCATTCCGTTCTCTAGTATGTTATAAACTATAGAAATTTTTACTTTGCAAAATACAGCTCTTTGTTTGGTAAAGTTGTCTAAAAAAAACATAAGAATTGATTAATTTTTGTTCTCACCGAGATCGAGTAAAAAGAGTCCAATTATGCAAAATATTCCAAAAAATAACAATCGTGATCTATAGAGATTCTTTTGCACTTAACCTCTAATGACATTACACTACTGGTCCTTTTCAAAATACTCCTACATATATAGATCATATGCTGAGGGATGGTATCATATAACCATTAGCAAGTTCTTGGTCATCACCTGTAATAATTTTCAAGAAGAAAGAAGGGACACTGAGGTTTTTGTGTTGACTGTTATTCCCATCCATCATAAAGACAAATGTCTTGATGCATTTTACGTTTTTGTTCTGTTATTGATGAACATAATTTATTTATTAACTCAATAGAGACTAGCGGAAGAACCATGAACTTTGTATAGGCGCATGTCTATATTATGGAGTGCACCAAAATCAGTTATCCAAAAATAAAACACCACAATACAATGTTAGAACCAAAAGCTCCGAAGGTTTGTATTGCTGAAATTTACGCTATTGAATTTCTCATCACCAGATGACAGGTTAGTCTCATCAACAATAGCATGAAGTTCACACAGGAGAAAAAACGTTATGTCATTGTGGCGCATGTTCTAACATTAAAGAACATATTTTAATGTGAATTTAACTTCTGTGTTATTTTGTTACACTTCGTATAAACTCAGGTACGACCAGTATGAATTAATCAAGGTTTGGACCTTCTGGGAACTGTTTTTACGACACTATTGTATTTCTTGCTGCGCTGAAACAACACGAAGCCTTTATTTTTAAATAACATATATTGGACAATACTGTCAGGAATTTCTTTAACATCACAGACTTGTCACTTTTTTTTAATTTGCTTTTTGTTTATTTGTTTGTTGAATTTAGCGCAAACCTACTCGAGGGCTACCTGCGATAGCCGGCTCTAATTCTGTCACAAGGCCATGCCAGGCACTTTAAATGTGAGTAAGCCATTAATATGAACAATGCATTAATTGAAGAAGTAATGGGGCTATATTGTACTATCCATCTCTATATGTAACAGACATATACCAATGGGATACTACTAATGTACAGTCTTGGCCAAAATGTTTGCATATTTTGTAACAAATAAGCTAATTATTATTAGAATGGAGTACAAATACACTTAGTGCTGTCAAACAGAGAAATGCATGTTATATTAAATATCTACATATGTAATTTGTATAATGAGACAGGTTTTATGAACATCATGGACGATTTATTAGAACAGCAAACAATTTTACACCTACTGACTCTTGTGTTGCGAAGTTAAAGTCATGCTACCTAACACCTTCTGTTATAAAAATATAAAAGCCGCAAAACACAAAATTTAAAACTGAAAATTTTACGTATCTTCCCATTCACCCAATGAACCTCCAAATCAAATCTGGTGAAAATACATTTACAGGGAGCAAAGTAGTTACAACAACAGACAGTAGACAGTACTATCATATTTATATAGATAAAAAATAAAAAACTGTCTCAAAAATATTTGTTTCCTTGTAGAAGAGAATAAATTTTCGGTTTCTTTGTTTGTATTGTTATAGTTATGCAAAAAAATGTTATACATATACGATATTACGACACAATAATACAGGAATTTTAAAATAATTGTCATACATATACAATATTACGACACAATAATACAGGAATTTTAAAACAATTGTTATATATATACAATATTACGACACAATAATACAGGAATTTTAAAACAATTGTTATACATACACAATATTACGCCACAATAATACAGGCATTTTAAAACAATTGTTATACATATACAATATTACGCCACAATAATACAGGAATTTTAAAACAATTGTTATACATACACAATATTACGAGACAATAATACAGGAATTTAGCTTTCTTTTTTTGCATTATTACTGAATAAAATTCAATCTGTCTTTTTTTTCCTGTTATATTGTATACGGCAATCTGTCATCTCGCTCCATCTGTTGTGTTGTCATATAATAGAAGACAATCTTGAGTTTTTTCTTTTGTATCATATTTTTACACTATAATTGCGATTTTCTTTCTTTTTTGCTTTATTATTATTACACTATAGAAAGGAATCTGTAATATTTTTTCTTTGCATTGTATTTCTAGATCATAGATGAAAATATACATCTTACTTTTTCTGTTGTATTGTTATGTTATAAAATACCATCTGACTCTTGCTTTCCTTATGATGTATTGTTATGTTATAAAATACCATCTGACTCTTGCTTTCCTTATGATGTATTGTCATATTATAAAATACCATCTAACTCTTGCTTTCCTTATGATGTATTGTTATATTATAAAATACCATCTGACTCTTGCTTTCCTTATGATGTATTGTTATATTATAAAATACCATCTGACTCTTGCTTTCCTTATGATGTATTGTTATATTATAAAATACCATCTAACTCTTGCTTTCCTTATAATGTATTGTTATATTATAAAATACCATCTGACTCTTGCTTTCCTTATGATGTATTGTTATATTATAAAATACCATCTGACTCTTGCTTTCTTTTGGTTGTATTGTTATATTATAAAATACCATCTGACTCTTGCTTTCTTTTGGTTGTATTGTTATATTATAAAATACCATCTGACTTTTGCTTTCCTTTGGTTGTATTGTTAAATCAATAAATATATTTTGTTTCTTGCTATTTTTGTTATACATTTACATTAAATGAGACATTCTACAAATGCTTCCCTTTTGTTGAATTCTTATGTTATAAAATATAATCTCTATTTTTCGTATTTTGTTTTCACATTATAACTAGCATTTTGTCTTTTGCCTTCTCTATGATGTATCGTAATATTTACATGACACAAATGGTTTCTTTCTTCATTACAATTTTATTGTTATATTACATTACACAAACTGTTTCATATTACGAAGATATAATTATATATTTCTGCTGGATATTAAAACATTACCAGAAACATGTTTTATATTACGACTGTGTTTGATAGTAATGCTACAAAGGAACCACCCGTTTCCTCTAGTATGATGAAGTTTATGGTCGTTTGTTCATCATACTACACGTCTAAGTTACTCTAATCAACACCTTATTTTGGTCCAAAATAAGGTGTTGATTAGAGTAACTTAGACGTGTAGTATGATGAACAAACGACCATAAACTCCAAAATAAGGTGTTGATTAGAGTAACTTAGACGTGTAGTATGATAAACAAACGGCCATAAACTCCAAAACAACTTCATGTCCAAGTTACTTCAGTTAAACACGTAGTAGTATAACTTTACATATTGTTTTTTACTGTTTTAACCTAATCCTTAAAGAAATATATTTGAAACAATGAAGACTGCATTAACTTTAAATATCATTTCACTTTGTCACAGTTTGTAGGGATTTTCAGTGTGAATTTCGTCAATACATTGAATGTAATAAGCTTATATGAAACTGTATTATGCATATTGATTAACGACATTGAACACTTTAATCAGTTTAACTTCATTAATTTATTTTATTTGTTTGTTTGTGGATTTTGTAAAAAACAACACGAGGGCTATCAACGCAAGCCATTCTTAGTTTTGAAAGAATAAACTAGATAGAAGGCAGCTAGTTAACAACACCTACCGTCAACTTTCCTCAGACTGAATAGTGGAATGTGACCGTTATTTTTATAACACACTCACGGCAGAGCGTAATATATTTATTTATTTTCAGCGGTAGCGAGACGAGAACTACAGAATCTCAGCTCTACAGTCTCGCACGCTAACCACTGGGCCACATTCGGACTTACATTAATTTGTAAGTTACGTTTTATTTCTGACCTTTATAGTTTAGCTTCCTTGTAATCAGAAGCTATTAACGATAATAAACAACTTAGATTAAGTAAGATTAACTTCTCCCTTTGTAAGTCTATGTATTTGCTCATCTTTTGATAATCTATTTGTATGTCAATCTATCTCTCTTTATCGTTGGTTTTTGTGATCACAGAGAGACTATTCCAAAGTATAACTACAATACCAAAAACTCTAGAATAATACTAAAATACAGCTTAATTATAGGTATTGCTGCTATTGTTTTATTTCTTGTACTTGCATACAAATTGACATAGAAGATCATAGCATAAAATAATATATATTTACTCAAATAAGGAAACGGACTGACCTGCCATAGTCACAAATAGAATCAGAAACATCAACTTTAAGCTCTGTTTAGCAATAAGACATTCGTTAGTCATCTTGTCAACTGGTTCAGAAGTGGAAAGTTTATATAGAGTGAAGAGTATTAGAGAATGTGAATAAATACGTTTGACGACTGTGTTCAAGTTGCAGCTCCCAAGCTTCCTCGATTTTGTTTTTGATCCTAATTTTTTCTGCTTGACCACACACAGGCTGTAGAAATATCGTTGAAGCACGTGTCTGTTTTTGAACCAATAGAATCGTGTTCTATTACTAGTAGTAGGCGTCTAGCTCAATTTTAACAGCTATTTCGCTGGTCCATAGTACACCATACCTCTCAGCAAATGACGTCATGACGAAACAGTTTGTGATTGAACAGCTAACACTAGCGTCACCAGTTCTCTCTCCCACGCATCAGGTGAGAAAAGATTCATGTAGGGTACACGACTCCTTTCTACAGGGACTTTATCATAGCACTCGAAAGTAGGAGCACAATATTAATAATCATTGTTGACGTTTCTCAACAGCCGTTAACTTCTCATGACACAGTCTGGTTTTATTAATTAACCTGAGTTATCAGTTTGAACTAAGACTGTTTACCTATTTCTTTATAACTTAGTTATTTGATATTTATTACTACACAGTCAAAACCTTTTGATTGATGTATTTCACCACTCACAAGGTCTCATAGATTAATTTATTCTAATCATGTCATTTATCTGTTGCTGTATGCCAACTGTAAACCAAAATAAACTCTAAAACACTGATACATGCCATTTATCTGTTGCTGTATATTAACTGTAAACCTAATAAACTCTAAAACACAGATACACATGTCATTTATCTGTTGCTGGATATTAACTGTAAACCTAATAAAACTCTAAAACACAGATACATATGTCATTTATCTGTTGCTGTATATTAATTGTAAACCAAATTAAACTCTAAAACGCTGATACATATGTCATTTATCTGTTGCTGGATATTAATTGTAAACCTAATAAACTCTAAAACACAGATACACATGTCATTTATCTGTTGCTGTGTATTAACTGTAAACCTAATAAACTCTAAAACACAGATATACATGCCATTTATCTGTTGCTGTATATTAATTGTAAACCAAATTAAACTCTAAAACACTGATACATATGTCATTTATCTGTTGCTGGATATTAATTGTAAACCTAATAAACTCTAAAACACAGATACACATGTCATTTATCTGTTGCTGTATATTAATTGTAAACCAAATTAAACTCTAAAACACTGATACATATGTCATTTATCTGTTGCTGGATATTAATTGTAAACCTAATAAACTCTAAAACACTGATACATATGTCATTTATCTGTTGCTGGTATATTAACTGTAAACCTAATAAACTCTAAAACACAGATACATATGTCATTTATTTGTTGCTGTATATTAATTGTAAACCAAATAAAACTCTAAAACACAGATACATATGTCATTTATCTGTTGCTGGATATTAACTGTAAACCTAATAAAACTTTAAAACACGGATACATATGTCATTTATCTGTTGCTGCATTCACCTTACAGATCCGTTAACAATGGGCGAATCAACATTAAACATAACCTTCGTTTTGCGACGTCTTTATGTAGTAAAGACGAAAATGGCTACCGTACTCAAATCGGTCAAATAGATTACTTAATCTATTTCAAAACGATCATTGGGAGTTTAAATGAGATTTACTACCAGTTTCAGTGATTTCCTCACAAGCATCTGTGATATTAAGGCACGAAGGCAACGGATAACTCTGCTTTATATATACAAGCTAAGGTACCCGTCCTTTGTCCGGGTTATGTACTTAAAATAAAATGGGGGTGGATGCTATGATAAATAACATTTATAACATAACATATTATAACAGTATTCATTATTAACTCATCACAATTTTTGTACGAGCTTTAAGAACTCATTATGTACATATTTAAAACATGGTATAAGCTCTTTGATGATTAGGGTGATTTTATATAAAGAGGTAGCGGCAAAAGTGATGGCGATAGGAGTTCTTTCTGTTACCCGCTTTCAACACCCAGTTCCTTCCACGCTATTTCACGTTATTAATTTATTGACGATTATTGGCCGTGTCCTACAGAGTGAAGTTGTAATGTCACGGGTCAAAGTAGAAAGTGGGTATAACTTAAGAAACAGCTCTTCATATCAGCGTTATTGTGGCTGTTGTAGTATAAACTTCATCTGAATTTACTGAAATAGTGGCAGCCACATTTTTTCATTGCATTCCTCCATAGAGATATATAAGACGTTTGTATGCCCTTCCCCACACTGAATATACGTTACGTTATAGAAACTTTAACGTATGTGTGTTTTCTTATAGCAAAGCCACATGGAGCTATATGCTGTGTTCACCGAGGGGATCGAACCCCCTGATTTTAGCCTTTAGGAGTAGTTAGATAACGGACAAACAGACAGATACACAAATTTTTGTGCTTTATGTATATAGATATTGGTTAGGATGTTTTAGATCAATCAGTATATCCTCGAAAGAGTAGATTAATAGGTGATGATGGTGGTTCTCTCAAAGGTTGCAATTCAACTTTGCCATTATCACAACACAGTCCAGGCTTTTCATTGGGATGCCTTTTTGCCCTGCAAAAATCACATTCTATAGATCTTTTTTCAACATCATATGCAGACTCTGATTCGTAATCATGATTTGGATCATAATCATAAAATGTATTGAAATACATTTTAGATCACCACCCAGCAGCAGCAACGTTTCTTTGATCTTGATATTCTCTATCTTGTTCTCCTCTAACAGCAATTTCTGCAAGTGATTCTTTCGCTTTTCGTGTCATTTTCCTTCTTGTCTTGCAGCAGTTTCATCAGCTGTCTCTTATGCTCTTCTTCTAGCTGTCCTTTTCCTCTCTTGAGCTTGTCTTGCTGCATCTTCTTTTGGCGTAACTTGTGATCTCCTTTCGTTCATTCTCTTGGATATTTTTGATTTCCTTGAATACAATGACTTCAAAAGTCTTTGGGGATCTTGACACACTTAGGTAAGGGTGTATTTTGTGTGTGCACTTAAGAAAGTTGACTGTTTTGGAAACTACAAAGTAACACTACTTATATATACACATATTTTATATCATACCACTTACTTACAATTAATGTCGAGGCGGAAAGCAACATGCGACCTCTTTGAGGTATTGGTGAAACGCTATGGAACTAACGGTATATGTGTTCATTTTGTCTTCACGTGATTAATTAACTGACGGTCATTGGTCGCGTTATAGCAAATGTAAAAAGTTTTTTGATGTATGGTTGTGGCGCCTTTTATGAATGTAGTTAACGTTAACTTACGTCAACGATAATAAATGCTGAATAACAGCAATTATGGGGGAAGAAGGGGTTGTGAACCCTCCAATAACATGCCTCTTGTTTCGAGCTATCATCCTACAACGTTTGGTTGAGATTGGCCCAGTAACCTAGGTCTAGTTAGATAACGGACAAACAGACAAACAAACAGATTGTTGTGCTTTATATATATATATATAGAGAGAGAGAGAGAGAGAGACAGACATTAATACAAAAGAAAGAGACGGAAAGGGTTCAGTTAGAAATCAATCAATATTTTACGTTAATGTTAATAATCGATCGAATGGTAAACAAATGCGACGTAAAATTTCTAGTCTTTGACTTTAATTTAACGAATTTTATTTTAGATTTATTTACGGATTACACTTATCCAACGAGCTTTACGTATATATTTATTGATTGTGTCTTAAGTTTTGTCTAAAAGAAAATAACATTAAATCATATTTATAAGTTTCGTAATACGTTGCTATCAAACAAATAACTTATACTGTAAGAATAATACTAACTGCTTTGTAAATCCGTATCTACTTCTGCACGCTATGACCGCTGTAAATACTATGTTCAGCACTAAAAGTAACATAACATTTAATTTCAAAGACTACATCTGAGAAATATTACTGTTATGAGTTTAAACACAATTCTTCACGTCGCTTTGCCGTTGTTTGCCATATCGCATATTAATTTAGCTTGCAGATTTGAATAGATATATGTTCAGCTAACTCTTTCCACAGTTCTGGAGTTGGCAGGACCGAGCTTGGCAGGCGGAGTGGGGTGGCCCGGGGGTGTCATCATCTATATGGCGCAGCTCCCTACAACATACCAAGAGGATATACCTAGCCCAGAAGGTCACTATGGCACGATTAAGGTCTACAAATAGATTTTCATGATTGCTGAACCCGATTATAGAATTGTATTTTGTATTCCTGGATCCCTTGGGATGCCGAAGTCATCATGTTTGAAATTATGTTCATACCTCCCTCTCACAAAGTAGTGGGACCAAATATGGCACACGCACTCAGGTACCACTGGCGACTGTTCTAACTGTTTATTTATTTATTTTCATGTACGGATCCTCACTCTTACGGGAAAATATAGAAGTAATTGATGGTAATGGAAGAGCTATATCGGAACACCTTGGCGTCTGGGTAATATGGGGGCGAAGACATTGTCTTACATCACAGTATGATGGGTAGTAGTTATGTATAAAAAAGGACGTTATTGATTAAAAACTCAAACCAGAGCTGAACAAGATTGGTTCAGCAACTAAACTATTAACGTAATTATATAACTGTAGTTTTAACTAAATTAAATACTGTTGTAAATTTGAAATTGCTCAATGAATTAAGCAACACAAAAAAGTTGTATTATATTTACACGGGTTAACTTAACTTAACTTATAAAGTTAAGATAAAATATATAACAGAACCAGTCTCCTTATTTTATCCAAAAATTTATCAACTTAAATTTCCATTAAATTTTTTAGTTCCAAAGTTTTCCCTCTGAATATTGATACGTTAATTTCTTATCATTACTATATATATATATATATATATATATATTTTGTATTTCAAATCTGCCTGGAGAAGGATTAGTTTGTATTAATTTAAGATCTGGTGTTTACCGATTTTTCTTTAAAGCGTACAAAACAAAAATTCTTAAACTCAGTAAACAATTATGCTGAAAAGAACAGGTCTGAAGACTAGCTTTCAAGAGCTATGAATATAATAATCCAATCAGTACTCAAGCTTTGAATTGTTACACCAGTAAATATAGTTAGATAATTTCTTTTCTAGGAACATAACAGGATTTACATAATGTGTTTCTTATCGTATTAAAT